TCCCTCTCCTCTTTCTGCTCCTTTTAAAAGGCATCCATGCTTCAAAGCCAAATCAGCTTCAGCTGGCTTTCATGAAGGGCAGCGTGAGCATCTGAGCTGAGAAAGAAAGAGAGTTCACTGGCCCTGCCCCTGCTCCACAGCTTCGACCACTGGAATCAAACATAAGGTCTATTAACGTGGCCTACTGCAGGAACAGAGAGACGGTGTCCAGGAGGCAGGGCTCAGGACTCAGGCACCGCCCCCCCAGCCTCTGTGGTTGTCAGACCCCAGCACTGATAACAGCTTTGCTATAAGCAATATCAGAGTGTAGTTAGAGTTACAGCTTGCCTACCAAAACGGTGGCTAAAGACTAAAACCTGTGCAACACTAGCATGAAATTTTGTGCTGCATTGAGTTCACATCTCAACCACATGGTATACCTCTGCATATACAACAACCACGTGACTTATAGACACACCACAGAGGGTCTTATCTGTCACAATCTCTTATTGAGCTCACGGGTCAGTTTCAAATGCATTCTCATTTTCTAACACACAGTGATACACAGATCAGCAAAGAGGCACTAGCAAGTAATTTAGGCTGCCTGAAAACTTTACTTATAGAACCCTTGGCTCATTTAATTTCCCTTAGCAAAATCCGTCACAACATTAAATTATGCCAACATTTTCTTGACCTTACTCTGTTTTGTTACAGCTCCATATTTCTTTAACTTCATATCAATAAACTGTGTTCAGCTGGCTGGATTTTTGAAACGCTTCTCCAAAGCAGCTGTAGCAAAACTGTAACTGGAAGGGTTACAGAATGGAAGATGCTTTGCTGCAGGCGCTATATCTAAAACTAGTCTTTAATTATTATTTAATGAATGAAGCATTTCAGACTGGCGACCTGTCCAGAGTGTTTCCTACCTTAGGCCCACTGAGCGCTGAGATAGAGTCAAGCACCGCCTGCGACCCAGGAGGATAAACGGCTTAGATCATGTGTGATTGTGTGTGAAGCATTTCAATTAAAAATCTTTCATTGAGCAAAAAGAGTACAATCTTTGGGGAGTCTCTTTGGGGCTCTCGGAATCATCCTGATCTCCTAATCCCGTTTACGGCACACCTATGTAGTTCTGTCTGTTATTAATCCCAGTACTAGAGGTGACCGTATCTGAGCACTGTCTTTTCTTCATGACTATACTCAGAAATGGCTAGCAAAGAGTTACAGGATAGACACAGTGACAACTTTATTTTAACCTTTTACACAGAGCACAAACCACAGGAAATGATCTCTTAAGAAAGCAAAAAATAGTTCCTGGATACAGAGAGCAGTGACAGAGATGGGTGTCAAAGCTGGTATGAAATGCCTAAACTTCCTGTCATGAGAGCAAGTATGTATTTAGCAGTATCACCCAGGCAGAGTCACTTTGCGAGACCGTGGTGGAGACGCCACATCTTCAGATAAAGCAAAAGCTTATTCAGAAAACCACTCAATGGCATTAACACATTTACAGAAGACAAAAGGGCTGAAGATGAATGAGGATATATATACAAATTCAGGAATTACAACAGACAACATATCAACTCATTCAGACGACAGCAACAATTATGAGGACATCTACGCCAATGAAGATGTCCCAGAGATTAGTGTGACCAGACACCATAAAGGAACTATGACATCAGGTACACACACACACACACACACACACAAAGTCTTATCCCAAATAGCACCCAGTGATCCTCTTTTAAGGCGGGAATTTGCTGACGAGAACTTGTAGATCTATGAGGTCCATGGGAGCTTTTAAAGCGTACATTTGAGATGAACTTGTGCAACGTCACAATAAACAGGTCATGCAAGTTTAATAACTGGTAGCTAAATAATTTTTGTTAGCTAATTTGCTTATTAGCAGTAGCTCATTGCAAGCATAATGCAGCTCAATGACAAGGTAAATTAAAGAAATGCATTTTAACTCAGAATCCCTGTTCTATTTGGTGCACTTATATTTCTGTAATCCTCTTTTGAGGATGGCGAGGCCTTAGGGCAGAGGTTGCCAAATTTAAAACATACATACAATATATATGTAATGTGTCATGTTTTAAGAATATGAGGTAAATATATTTAACTGTGCCATTCTATATTATTTAAAAAATTGCCAATATATGCATCCACACCATTCAGGCATGGCATTATGACCACCCCCTTGTTTCTACGCTCATTGTCCATTTGATCAGACACAGCAGTGCTGCTGGAGTTTTTAAACACTTCAGTGTCACTGCTGGAATGAGAATAGTTGACCGACAAAAAATATACAGCCATCTGCGTCCTGTGGGCAGTGTCCTGTGACCACTGAAGAAGGACTGGAGGATGACCAACACAAACTGTGCAGCAGGAGATGAGCTATCGTCTCTGACTTTACATCTACAAGGTGGACTGACAAGGCAGGAGTGTCTAATAGAGTGGACAGTGAGTGGACACAGTGTTTAAAAACTCCAGCAGCACTGCTGTGTCTGATCCACTCGTACCAGCACAACACACACTAACACACCACCACCACGTCAGTGTTACTGCACCACTCAAATGGTACCTGCTCTGTGAGGGTCCATGGGGGTCCTGACTACTGAAGAATAGGGTAAAAGGGGGCTAAGAAAGTATGCAGAGAAACAGATGGACTACAGTCTGTAACTGTAGAACTATATAGTAAGTGGAGCTGATAAAATGGACAATGAGCGTAGAAACGAGGTGGTCATAATGTTATGCCTGATTAATGTATATGTATCTGTCAATAAATTGACACTGATCCACACGTAACAGCATAACACACACTAACACACCACCACGTTTGCGTGTGAGGAAGTTCACCATAGGGTGGCAGCCTATGGCTATTGGTGACCTATCCCCCGCTTGGCTGTGTTGTCACAGGCCCTTGTGCTGGTGTTTGAATAAAAGAACACTACTCGCTGCAGAATCATGACCTCTCCTTATCGTCACGGGCTCACTGATATTCCTACAGCAAGCAGGCATGCAGGAGGCGTAGCCATGTGTAGCCACTGGGACAGTCAACCTTTGAAGGGAGGGCTATGTAGCATGCTGCTAGCACGACGGAGCGACGTTTGTGTTTACGAGGACGGTGGACTTTCCAAAACCCCTGCTGCAGTGAGACCAGTGGGGTGTTTTTTTACGTACAAGTAAAGCTACTGGCTTTGTTTGTGTCAATAAGTTGTTAGTGTTAGCTTAAAGATGTGGGCTTGTGGTGAGTGTGTGAGTGGAGTGGGGGTGGGTGTCACTGTGAGCCTACTGGTGGTTACTTTCATGTGCCTTTCCACTGTATTTCAATAACAGAGCACTAGAATAAACAGCCTCTCCTGTGTCTTACTCTATGCCAACACCACAATATTTGCATATGTGACAAATGTAAAAGGAAATATATTACAAATTACACATTCTGACAATATATACGTAAATATATTTTCCATATTTGTATATGGGTCTGGCCTAGTGTGTCCCATTTCTCATTTTGGCACTCAAATGGCACTGACGAGCACCCTTTAGTCACCCTTGCTGCAGTCTTTGGTGAAGATCGCGTCTGTGACCTCTTACAAACAAATACCTTGCGATACAGGCTAGGACCATTCAGAGTGAATGTGTTTCTTTACAGCTATCTAGCAGAGAAGCCATTGTTCAAGCGTAAGCTAAAATTAATTTGTTTATTAATTTAACTTGTAACTGAGATGCATCATGCTTGTAATCTTTACTGAGCCACTGCTGATAAGCAAATTAGCTTATTTAAAAAAAATGAGTATGTCTGATATTTCACTGAGTAAAATACATGTACAGCCTGTATGATGCCTGAGTTCGTGCCAAATGCTCACTTTTAAACCAAGAATTCATGGTGTTGTCCACAACATGCAGTGAAGACTTTGAGGAAGGCCGGCCATTTCGGAACAGGCCCATAGCGTAAAATATTATTCTCTGCCTTGTTAGAATCAGTTGTAAACAACCTGCTTCTGCTGTGCTGCCATGTTTGGTCCAAGTCTGTATTGCAAAGGAGTCCAAGTCCATGTATCTTTGACAAACAAAGCATGGAGAGTGCTACATAGAAAGAGCACAGAATGTGCTTGTGAGAAGGCACTGCATACTGTATAGGAACACCCAAATGAGGAACACAAAACCAAAAGTGCCCTATACCACGATCGCCTACGTGTGAATTTGGATCATTCTACCAAATTGCTTCAAGGTCAGAGTTTAAGTCACATTTCGGACTTTTAACAGACTTAGACTTTAATTTGTTTGTTTTAGGTGATCCTCTACCTTATGTTTATTTCACTAAAATAAATGGTTAAACAAATGTTTCAGTAGTGAATGTTTTGGTAGTGTCAATTTTAGCTAATCTTGAGAGTAACTCAAAAACACTAGCCAGTACATGACTAGCAAACAGAGCTTTCAACAGCTGCACACACTTAAAGTGATAATGTTTTAACTGTAACACACAAAAAGTTAGACTTTCAGACTATATATCTATATATACATACACACACACACACACACACACATCTTTATACATATATATATATATATATATATATATATATGATGTTTCCTACCTTAGGCCCACTGAGCGCTGAGATAGAGTCAAGCACCGCCTGTGACCCAGGAGGATAAACGGCTTAGATCATGTGTGATTGTGTGTGAAGCATTTCAATTAAAAATCTTTCATTGAGCAAAAAGAGTACAATCTTTGGGGAGTCTCTTTGGGGCTCTCGGAATCATCCTGATCTCCTAATCCCGTTTACGGCACACCTATGTAGTTCTGTCTGTTATTAATCCCAGCACTAGAGGTGACTGTATCTGAGCACTGTCTTTTCTTCATGACTATACTCAGAAATGGCTAGCAAAGAGTTACAGGATAGACACAGTGACAACTTTATTTTAACCTTTTACACAGAGCACAAACCACAGGAAATGATCTCTTGAGAAAGCAAAAAATAGTTCCTGTAGACAGAGAGCAGTGACAGAGACGGGTGTCAAAGCTGGTATGAAATGCCTAAACTTCCTCTCATGAGAGCAAGTATGTATTTAGCAGTATCACCCAGACAGAGTCACTTTGCGAGACCGTGGTGGAGACTCCACATCTTCAGATAAAGCAAAAGCTTATTCAGAAAACCACTCAATGGCATTAACACATTTACAGAAGACAAAAGGGCTGAAGATGAATGAGGATATATATGCAAATTCAGGAATTACAACAGACAACACATCAACTCATTCAGACGACAGCAACAATTATGAGGACATCTACGACAATGAAGATGTCCCTGAGATTAGTGTGACCAGACACCATAAAGGAACTATGACATCAGGTACACACACACACACACACACACACACAAAGTCTTATCCCAAATAGCACCCAGTGATCCTCTTTTAAGGCGGGAATTTGCTGACGAGAACTTGTAGATCTATGAGGTCCATGGGAGCTTTTAAAGCGTACATTTGAGATGAACTTGTGCAACGTCACAATAAACAGGTCATGCAAGTTTAATAACTGGTAGCTAAATAATTTGTTAGCTAATTTGCTTATTAGCAGTAGCTCATTGCAAGCATAATGCAGCTCAATGACAAGGTAAATTAAAGAAATGCATTTTAACTCAGAATCCCTGTTCTATCTGGTCCACTTATATTTCTGTAATCCTCTTTTGAGAATGGCGAGGCCTTAGGGCAGAGGTTGCCAAATTTAAAACATACATACAATATATGTGTAATGTGTCATGTTTTAAAAATATGAGGTAAATATATTTAACTGTGCCATTCTATATTATTTAAAAAATTGCCAATATATGCATCCACACCATTCAGGCATGGCATTATGACCACCCCCTTGTTTCTACGCTCATTGTCCATTTGATCAGACACAGCAGTGCTGCTGGAGTTTTTAAACACTTCAGTGTCACTGCTGGAATGAGAATAGTTGACCAACAAAAAATATCCAGCCATCTGCGTCCTGTGGGCAGTGTCCTGTGACCACTGATGAAGGACTAGAGGATGACCAACACAAACTGTGCAGCAGGAGATGAGCCATCGTCTCTGACTTTACATCTACAAGGTGGACTGACAAGGCAGGAGTGTCTAATAGAGTGGACAGTGAGTGGACACAGTGTTTAAAAATTCCAGCAGCACTGCTGTGTCTGATCCACTCGTACCAGCACAACACACACTAACACACCACCACCACGTCAGTGTTACTGCACCACTTAAATGGTACCTGCTCTGTGAGGGTCCATGGGGGTCCTGACCACTGAAGAACAGGGTAAAAGGGGGCTAACAAAGTATGCAGAGAAAAAGATGGACTGCAGTCTGTAAATGTAGAGCTACAAAGTGCACCTATATAGTAAGTGGAGCTGATAAAATGGACAATGAGCGTAGAAACGAGGTGGTCATAATGTTATGCCTGATTAATGTATATGTATCTGTCAATATACTGACACTGATCCACACGTAACAGCATAACACACACTAACACACCACCACGTTTGCGTGTGAGGAAGTTCACCATAGGGTGGCAGCCTATGGCTATTGGTGACCTATCCCCTGCTTGGCTGTGTTGTCACAGGCCCTTGTGCTGGTGTTTGAATAAAAGAACACTACTCGCAGCAGAATCATGACCTCTCCTTATCGTCACGGGCTCACTGATATTCCTACAGCAAGCAGGCATGCAGGAGGCGTAGCCATGTGTAGCCACTGGGACAGTCAACCTTTGAAGGGAGGGCTATGTAGCATGCTGCCAGCACGACGTAGTGCTCAGAAAGGGCACGTCCCAGAGAGCGACGTTTGTGTTTACGAGGACAGTGGACTTTCCAAAACCCCTGCTGCAGTGAGACCAGTGGGGTGTTTTTTTACGTACAAGTAAAGCTACTGGCTTTGTTTGTGTCAATAAGTTGTTAGTGTTAGCTTTAAAGATGTGGGCTTGTGGTGAGTGTGTGAGTGGAGTGGGGGTGGGTGTCACTGTGAGCCTACTGGTGGTTACTTTCATGTGCCTTTCCACTGTATTTCAATAACAGAGCACAATTTGCAGCAGAATAAACAGCCTCTCCTGTGTCTTACTCTATGCCAACACCACAATATTTGCATATGTGACAAATGTAAAAGAAAATATATTACAAATTACACATTCTGACAATATATACGTAAATATATTTTCCATATTTGTATATGGGTCTGGCCTAGTGTGTCCCATTTCTCATTTTGGCACTCAAATGGCACTGACGAGCACCCTTTAGTCACCCTTGCTGCAGTCTTTGGTGAAGATCGCGTCTGTGACCTCTTACAAACAAATACCTTGCGATACAGGCTAGGACCATTCAGAGTGAATGTGTTTCTTTACAGCTATCTAGCAGAGAAGCCATTGTTCAAGTGTAAGCTAAAATGAATTTGTTTATTAATTTAACTTGTAACTGAGATGCATCATGCTTGTAATCTTTACTGAGCCACTGCTGATAAGCAAATTAGCTTATTCAAAAAAAATGAGTATGTCTGATATTTCACTGAGTAAAATACATGTACAGCCTGTATGATGCCTGAGTTCGTGCCAAATGCTCGCTTTTAAACCAAGAATTCATGGTGTTGTCCACAACATGCAGTGAAGACTTTGAGGAAGGCCGGCCATTTCGGAACAGGCCCATAGCGTAAAATCAGTTGTAAACAACCTGCTTCTGCTGTGCTGCCATGTTTGGTCCAAGTCTGTATTGCAAAGGAGTCCAAGTCCATGTATCTTTGACAAACAAAGCATGGAGAGTGCTACATAGAAAGAGCACAGAATGTGCTTGTGAGAAGGCACTGCATACTGTATAGGAACACCCAAATGAGGAACACAAAACCAAAAGTGCCCTATACCACGATCGCCTACGTGTGAATTTGGATCATTCTACCAAATTGCTTCAAGGTCAGAGTTTAAGTCACATTTCGGACTTTTAACAGACTTAGACTTTAATTTGTTTGTTTTAAGTGATCCTCTACCTTATGTTTATTTCACTAAAATAAATGGTTAAACAAATGTTTCAGTAGTGAATGTTTTGGTAGTGTCAATTTTAGCTAATCTTGAGAGTAACTCAAAAACACTAGCCAGTACATGACTAGCAAACAGAGCTTTCAACAGCTGTACACACTTAAAGTGATAATGTTTTAACTGTAACACACAAAAAGTTAGACTTTCAGACTATATATATATATATATAATATATATATATATATATATATATATATATATAAGATGTATGTATATATGATGTCATATGTTTAGCTTATTTGCTATCTCAATGAATTTCTTAGGTTTAAAGAGATCACAAAATAGTCCTTGTAAATATATAATGTCTGAACACTTTTTTGAACAGTTTTGTCTGAACTAATGCAGTAGAATTTCACATTTATGAGATGATTCGTTTTCATTTTCTACTGTCTGTAATCAGAGTGTCGAGAGGCAATCAGAGATAGCCACAGTTTTCACTATGCCTTGTGCAGTTTCACTAATATAGCTCAAGCTTTGTGCCTGGATTGGGTAGGTGTTGGTGCCTCCTTCTTTAGTTTTGAGATTTACTGTAAGCCATTATCATACTTTTGACCAATTAGGAATGGACACTTCAGGAAGCAGATGCTACAGACTGGCTACAGTGTGTCTGGGGCTGCTGTGTGTTCTCCTACTGACAGCCATCACAGTGCTGTGGGTCAAGCTCACCGCAGAAAGAGACCCTTTACAGACCAGGTACAACAAACTTACTACAGAGAGAGACCAGTTACAGACCATTTGCAACAACCTGACTGCAGAGACAGAAAAGCTACAGATGAGATGTAGCAACCTGACGAAAGAGAGAGATGAGCTTCTGCAGAGATTTTCAGATTTGGGTGAGTCCGTACACACTGGTGATGTTAAAAGATTGCTTTTTACTTGTGCTTGTATAAACTGTCTGTTTATTGTATACTTGATGGAAGCAACAAAGAATGACCTTAAAAACAATATTTCAGAACAAAGGTAACCTGAATACAGAGCTTGTCGACAAATTAGAAAATTAAAATGAACATAACCAGTTCATTTTCAAAACCTACGACACCATGTTTATTTAATAAAGATGTCACTGAATGAAATGAGTCCTAACCAGTGGACTAAAATGTCCATTAAGCACCTCTCCAGATAGTTTGTGCAGTACTATATTAGATATGTACTGACTTCTATAAACAGAGCAGTCTTTTAACACATATAACTTACACCAAGATGTCATTTTATTAGGTACAGCCTAATACCTTGTAGCTACACTTTTGAGACATTTATCAGGTAATTTTTACAGTTGCTGCCCCAAAAAAGAAATTCCAAGTGGATGCTAGCAGACATTAGCAGTACTGCAGAGGTGTTTTTTCATTGTTTTTCCCCCTTGTTTTGACATTTCCACCTGAACTGAAATCCTAACTCTAATAGTCACTGTGTAAAGGTTATTTTATTGCATATACCTACTTTGTAGGCATACAGTTAGAGACTGTAGCTTATCTTTCCCATGCACAATTTGTTAGTCACCTTCAAGCGCAGAGGTATCTGACAGAGTTCTTTAAAGCCACAGCTCTGCAGAGAGTAGCATGTTCTCCCATCTAAAGGCCTATACACACCCCAAGATGTTTGTGGATGGAAAAAACAGAAGTAATTTTTGGCGTAATGAAACCTCCAAACCAAGTCTGACGCATTTTCTTAAACATTCGGAGAATGCAGTAAGAAAATGCATATGAAAGGAACTTCCTCATGCAGTACTGATAAATACATAGTTTTCTTCTAAGCATTGTGACTGAAAGGTGTCCATACTGGGTACAAACACTCTACAAAAAGACCAGCCATGAACAGATGAGTATACATCTACATAAACAAGAAACAGCTACAAACAGTCGCTATGTTGTATTAAAGAACTTGCCGTCGTTCCACAGCTTTCAGCAATGGTTCACTATCTTCTTTCACTTCTGCATATTTATAGTCACTGTGATGCATGTTTGTTTGGACTGCAACCATGACCGAGTTCTCACTGGTCAGCATGATTTCCAAAAAAATTATTAACCTGGTTCAAATTTAAAAATTAACCAACTGTAATCCGTCAAGTTTCAGCATCAATGGGAAAGATGCCATTAACGTGTTGATTTTCAAAACTTGACATGCATTTTTTATTTCGCCCCTAAGAATCAGTGCGAACAGGCTTTAACACGCCAAATTCAACGTATGATGGCCTTGCTTATTAGCTGATAGGTTGAATCAGGTGTGTTTAATGAGGAAGAGTGAGAAACTCTGCGGAGCTGTGGCTTGGTACGAACTCAGTTCGACTCTCAGAGCCAGTCCGGACCTCCCTGGGGCCCTAAACAAAATTCTTGAAAAGGGGTCCTCCTACCTGATCCGTCAGCCATGTAAACCATTTGCGTTTGCTACACAGTCAAACCTGACACCACAGTGCTCCCACTACAACACTCCAGTTTGGTCCATTTTGTTAGTCCAAGAATAAGCAAGCCTATACAGAACAGAATGAGGTATAAACAAGCAATATTTAGTAAATATAATATTTTTTATAGAATCTTAAAGAAGAGTGAATATTAACATTAATATAAATGCTGACCAACTTGAGCACAGTACCTGAAAAAATTATAGATTAAAATACGTTTTATACGACGGCTTGGCTGAATACTTGGTGATTATTTACTGAGAGATGTGCATTCATATTGCCCAGTATACCCAGCTAGGACAACTTTTATTTGTTAAACTTTACTGTTATTTGCTGACATCAAACTTGGAAAGGAGAGAACACACGTTTAACTGGATTGCTGTTCCCACAATTCACTCTCATGGTATTTTTTTTTCTTTTTTCGTGACTAGATGAATAGTTCTGCTACTCTTATCGAAGCAAAAAGCAGCTTTGATACGACAGGGAGGTGGAACCCTTGGGTAATTTGCAGGGATCCTACGCAACCTGCGTAGTGAGTGTATAGGGCTGACCAGCTGTGGCTGCCCTCGCCTCTTTCTGACCACAGGACCACTGCTGACTGGATATTTTGGTTGGCGAAGCATTTTCCACCCAGCAGGGGCACTGACATGTGAAAACTGACTTGTGCCAGTGGAATACCCACTAACATGCAGCTACCACATTGTTATCACTGCTGTGTTTTGAATAGTTAAGCAGCCAAAGAAAATATATCCAGCAGTGCTCTTACAAAGGCCTTGGGTGTGTACTAGCACCAAATACAGTCAGAAATTGTATACCTAAAAAGGACACTTGTATGGATGATAAAATGACCAATCAGGGTAGGTATAAGGTACCTAATGTACCTAAAAAACTGACAACTCAGTGTATGTGCTCTCATTTAAAAGGTTGGATTTACTTGAACTCTAGTCTTTACTACATCTCTACTGAGAAGAAGAACTGGATTGAGAGCAGACAGGACTGCAGAGAGAGAGGAGCAGACCTGGTAATCATAAAGAGCAGAGAAAAACAGGTGAGAGAGAGAGAGAGAGAGAGAGAGAAAATATTGTGTTCTTTCACTGTGACTTTTCATAATGTGTGATCACATTCACAGGAGTTTATTGCATCCATACTGGGCCACACAGAGGCTTGGATTGGTCTGACTGACAGTGAGACAGAGGAGGTCTGGAAATGGGTGGATGGCTCAGGTCTGACCACTGGGTAAAATACTGAAATGACTTCCATAAATTTACTATTTGATTGCTGTTAAAGGGCTTGAGACTTCGCTAATGAGTTAAATTCTATATGTTAAGTAAATACCACAAAAAAAGGGCTGTCAAACAATTAAAATAATTGTGAATAATTGCGTTACTTTTTTGTTGTTAACTAAATGTTTTTAAATGACTTTTTAAAGAGGTGGCTCACATTTTGCACATGAAAACACACCTTTTAGATGGCCTGAGACACTAACACATCACAGCTTAATGACAGAAGCAAAGGGACACGTTTAAATGTTACATTTAAAGACGTTAAACACTTTGTCATGTTCGATTACACACTCGGGTGCCACAGCACCTCGCCACTCACGACTTTCTGCCATTTTTCAAATAGTTTTGAGCTGTGTGTGAAGGATTGTGGGAGACTGAAGGTGTTGAGGGATACACCAGTTATGTTCTTTGATTTCTCGTATTTTTCATCTTTCTGCGCATTTCTTGACCACATTTATAGGAGCCTACAAAGCGGCACAGACTTCAGGGATGTAATGGCTGACAAATGAGAAACTTTAAGACAAAAGCTGAAATTTAAGTCTTTGTTTTTCATCCACATCACACCATGTTACAAATGCTTGTGTGAGTCCACTACAAAACTGGTGCTAAACTTATCACTCCTGAACACGTCCACTGCTGAGGAGACTGTTCAGTCATCCCTCAAGCGTTCAGTAACTCTGAGTTTAACAACGGACTTGTCACATTGATTTATCAGTCTACTCAGGCTTTAGCGGGTTTTGTTTGTAAAGAAGCTGATTATTTTACATGCCATGATTTTAAGATAGTATTCTCCTAAAAACACAAAAGGTAACTGTTAATAAATGCAGTTAACTGACTGACCTTATGATCTTTCATTCAAAATATTAACAAAAATCTAACAATTTTTTGAAGTACAATAATTGAAAAAAAAAAACAAAATCTTATCAGGACATGCATGGAGGAATGGTCTCAGATCCTTTGCCATATGTTCTCCAGTCTGCTTAAGCAGACCTATAAAAATATCTTTTTCTCAAATCTGTATGCCACAATTGTTGGCACCCCTTCATTTAATCCTTTGTGCAGCCTCCCTTTGCAAAGATTACAGCTCTAGGTCTGCTTAAGCAGACTGGAGAACATATGGCAAAGGATCTGAGACCATTCCTCCATACAGAACGTAAGTTTAGGTCAGGGGACTGGAGTAGCCATGGCACAACCTTGATTCTGTGGTCAGTAAACCATTTTTATGTGTTGATTTTGAGGTGTGCTTTGGATCATCGTCCTGCTGCATGATCCAAACTATGGCCTAGTTTAAGCTTCTGACTGAGTCAATCAGATTTTGATTTAATACCTGCTGTTACTTGATAGAGTCTGTGATCAGAAGTGGCTGGTAATTAGTTACATTTACTCAAGTACATGGACTTACATAAAATATTGATGAATTTGCACTCTGCCGAGTATTTTCAAATCGTAATACTTTTACTTCTACTCCATTTTATCAGTGAGTAGTTTAAATTTCTTTCGTTTAATTTCTTTCTGTTTTGTGGCTGACAACATCTGTACTGCTCTGTGATTGGTCAGACCTCTGAATCTAGAGCTTTAGCATTTTATTTCTCACTATTCATGGGGTCAATATAGACATATGTCCTCTTCCTGAAAGATTCTTAACATCTCTTGTTGCTTTAAACTTCTTAATTATCTCCATGATAGTGGAAATAGGCATTTTCCTGATTTGTGCAGCTCAACAATCTTTTGTTGTACATCATTGCTGTTTTCTCTGGTTTCTCTTAAAGATGGATGACTGGGGGCATTTGGCCTGTGTTTCACCTCATATATGCTCCCTAGCAAATCAGGAAGTAATGGCTGGCTATTTAAGTGTTCCAAACCACTCAAGTGAACTTAAATGCTTAAAACATGAATGGGAATATACTTAGGTTCGATTTCACTCTTAAGAATTTCTAGGGGTGCCAACAATTGTGGCACACGTAGATTTAAATATTTATAATAAAATATTTATTTCATGACCAGATAAGTAATTAAGAATGTTGAATACAGCCCATTTTGCTCAAGATTACCAGGAGTGCCAATATTTGTGGAGAGCTCTCTGTCTATCAGTGACTGATTGTGATTGTCTGCTGTTCAGGTTCTGGAATACGGGGGAGCCAAATAATGGAGGTGATGAAGACTGCGCACAGTTTTTGGGTTATCCAGATAAGAGGAGCTGGAACGACAGGAGATGTTCTGTTTCTTCACAGTGGATCTGTGAGAAACGTTTTTTTGAGTGACAGGTACATGGAGCAGAGGGCAAGAAGGAAGCAAATTCATGCAACATTATGCCCATGTCATCTGTCTGATCTCTTGCTTTCTAATTTAATACTAACATTTTATTTATCTTTGACGTGCAGTTTTGTATGAGTAATTAGGTGTCTTTGTGAGTTTGACTGCCCTCTGTTGGCAAAGACAAAATGCTGCAGGACACTGTGTTACGTCATTAAAAGACCTAAATCCTACATTTTTTCTTGTATTTTATTTTCCCCTGAGGTCCACTTATAACATTTGTGTGGTTTTATGTTCCAAATATGATCAGAATTCATTTTTACAATTTTCCAGCCTCTCCTTAGCCCTCAGAATTTAACCATCTGTTTTTGTTACTGTGCCTTTAAGACTAAAATATGTGCCTGAGGCAGTGTGCTGTGTACTGAATTGTGCAGTGTTTTGGCCCATAAGGGCTGGAGCCTGACACGTGATCTTCCTGATAAGTCACCGGCATCCGTAATGATATCCTTCTCTGGAAGGATACGTGAACTTCTTCTCCTTAAGAACGTATTAGATTGTGTTAACTAGAGATGCATCCACACTGATCCTGTTATCGGGTATCATACAGTACTCATTTACTCACACTCTTAAAACTTCTTTGATAACACATTCCGATACCCGCTGATACCGTGTGACATAAGGCGAGTGTTTGCTGCTGTGCTAATGAACCAATGCATCAAAGAAGGCTCTGCTCACACAGAGTACTGTTAAGTGACTCCATGACAGTCGAACACAAAGTGGTTGATCAATTTAAACCTTGCATCTTGGTAGATTCTCACTAGGAATACACTGTAATTTTAGCCCTTTTTTAAACATAAAAACAAACACAATCACGGCTGTTTCCCAGTATTGGTGGAAACACAAAGGCCTGCCAAACAGAGGCAGAAAAGTTGACATTAGCTACCAAAATCTGTATATGTGGCTTAACTCTGCTTGACTGAGTAGAATATCATGGTATAAAAGTTAGCATTGTGATTTTTTAAAACTGTCTTTGTTAGGGATGCGTCAATACTGATACTGGCATTGGTCATAAAAACTCACCAACACCAACATTCTGATACTCGCTGATACTGTGTGGTGTGGAGTGTGAAGCTGCCCTACTGTGTACATCACTGTCTGGTTTTAACTTCAGAGCAGTGTTAGCAGCACTGCTCAGTTTCTCAACATGTTTGCTTAGTACTCGGTGCACAGCTTGTTATTTTAAGCAAAACAACTTCATTGGAAATCTTTAAAACTAGGTAGGCCTCTCAGACATGGTTTAGAAGGTTTTAAATCATATCTATGGGCTTTTGGATTCATGGCTTCTCTTTTGTTTTAATTATGAATCATTTGGTAGGACTCTAGGGCAGCTTTTTAAAAGGGGCTCAAAGAGCCCAAAGGGATAGTCTGGTTTTGGAGGCAGGAGAGGCGAGTCAGATGTCCTGAAAGTTAGGGTCTTTGTGATATAACCTGTTGTCTAGGTTTCATTGTTTTATTGCAAATATCTGCATTCATGAAAACCGGAAAAAAACAAGAAAAAAGGAAAATAAACGTTGTGCAGGTCACAGCTACTTGAAAGACAGTGTGAGTGAACTCTGCTTCAGCCCTCCTCGGTCAGCTTAGAAACAGTCATCATTTCTTGTATTACTGTTAAATTTTATCGCTTGTCTGTAAAGCAATTTGAGCTGCCACCCAAAATACTCCATAAATAAATGTTATTATTTTTTACCATTTCTATTACAACCCTGTTTCCAAGTTCCAAGTTCGGATGCTGTAAAAACAGTAAAAACAGAAGAACAAATCCTTTAAACTTTATATTTAACTGAACGTAGTACAAAGACGTTAAATATTAAACGTTATATGTTAAATGTAGAACATATAAAAAGTGAAAACAGAGAAATCTGTTTCTTGAAAGATTTATGCCCATTTTGAATTTGATGCCAGCAAAACGTTTCAAAAAAGTTGGGACGGGGCATGTTTACCGCTGTGTTTCATCACCTCTACTTTTAACAACACTCTGTAAGCGTTGGGAACTGAGGAGACACTGCTGTAGTTCTGAAAGTGAAATGTTTTCCCATTCTTGCTTGATACAGGATTTTAGTTACTCAACAGTTCAGGGTCTCCTTTGCCAGTTTAGCACCCAGACTCCTTTACTCTTTACATTTTGCAGAATGTGGTTTGGCATTGTCTTGCTGAAATAAGCAAGGCCTTCCCTGAAAAAGATGTCGCCTGGATGGAAGCATTTGTTGCTCCAAAACCTGTAAATATTGCTCAGCATTAATGATGCCGCCACAGACATGCAAGTCATCCATGCCATGTGTACTAATACACCCCATACCATGTGCGCTGATAACAATTCTGATGGTCCGTCTCCTCTTTCACCCAGAGGACACAGCGTCCATGATTTCCAAAAAGAATTTCAAATTTTGATCTTTGATTTTCTGCTTTGCCTCAGCCCATTTTAAATGAGCTTAGGCCCAGTAAACGAGGTAGCATTTCTGGATCCTGTTAACATATGGTTTGATCTTTGAATGGTACCGTTTTTAACTTGCATTTGTGGATGCAGTGATGAACTGTGTTCACAGACAGTGGTTTTCAGAAAGTGTTCCTGAGCCATGCAGTCATTTCAGTACCTGCTCTGTGAGGGTCCATGGGGGTCCTGACCACTGAAGAACAGGGTAAAAGGGGGCTAACAAAGTGTGCAGAGAAACAGATGGACTACAGTCTGTAATTGTAGAACTACAAAGTGCACCTATATAGTAAGTGGAGCTGATAAAAGTGGACAATGAGCGTAGAAACAAGGAGGTGGTCATAATCTTATGCCTGATCGGTGTAGATAGATATAGACAGAAAAGCTAAGCTCAATAAAACAATTTCTTAAACAGATTTTTAAATTCACATGCATCACACTAATGAAGGGGCTCCTGTAGGCACTCAATACTAATATGCAAATGCTAATATGCAATGTCCAGTTTATATGACCATATGACATGAGATCACATGGCTGTGACCCAGGCTTCAAATCAGAGTGATTACATTTTGTTCAAACAGTTTGTAAGGTTTTGTGTTAGCATCACTAAAATGAACAGACAAGGCTTCTCAAAGGACTAATATTCAAAGAACCAGGATGTGTGAACATGTACACAAGGCTCAACTAGAAATAGGTGTGAGTGAAACATGTAAATGAATTAATACTATAGAAATGGTGCCATTTGTTGATGAAGTTGAGCATTTTCTCTTCTAAAATCTTTCAAAATGAACACATTGTTGTAAATGAAAATCTGCTAATTCTGAAAGATTTTTAAAGGTTTTACATTTTTACATCTGCACTTTTTTGTTTGCACGCTGTTCTGAAACCAAATTTGAGTTTAAATTACTAAGTAAAAAGCCACTCACTGATACTTAGTACATAGAGATGTGCACTTTAATGTTTCTAAGTTTTTTGTTTATAAGTGCTTTGTTTGTTTCCACACAGTGGTAATTTATTTTTCAGTGCTACTAAAAAAAAAAGACGCCACTCAACCCCCAAGCAAGTACAGCACATTAGCAAATTTAAATCATTGAAGAGTCTGGATTGCAAAAACCAACGAAGTAAGACTAATGTAGTTGCATGCAGACTGGCTGATTTAAGAGCATAAATTTCAGTTAGCCATGAGTAACATTGACCACGTGCGCACTGAAACCTTATGACAGATGTTTTGATGTTTGAGACCAGCATAACTTGCTTCTTCAGCACAAGTTACAGCGCTCAACTACATACTCCCTCCATTTTCACAGGCTCAAAAGTAATTGGAAAAACTAACAATTACAGATACAAGGATGATTTTTAATACTTGGATGCAAATCCTTTGCAGTCAATGAGTGCCTGAAATCTGGAACCCATGGACATCACCAAATGTTGGGTTTCCTCCCTTGAGATATTTTCCCAGGCCTTTACTGCAGCCGGCTTTAGTTGCTGCATGTTTGTAGGTCTTTCTGCCACCAGTTAACTGATGCTACCATTTAGGAACATTCAATTTAAGACGCTCTTGACTTGCTTTTGTGGTAAGTTTTGGGTCGTTATCCAGCTATAATGTGAAGCTCTGGCCTACCTAGTGAATCTGAGCAGAAAGCAAATCTCTATAACCTTCAGGATTGATCCTGCAACTTTTATCAGCAGTCATATCATCAATAAACACCAGTGACCCAGTCCAATTGGCAGCCATACATGCCCATAACACTACCTCCACCATGTTTGACAGATGATGTGGTATGCTTCGGATCATGAGCCCTTCCATTCCTTCTTCATACTTTTCTCTTCCTGTCATTCCGGTACAAGTTAATCTTAGTTTAAACTGTCCAAAGAATTTTGTTCCAGAACTGGGCAGGGTTTTTAGATGTTTTTTAGCAAAGTCTCATCTGGCCTTGCTGTTCTTAAGTGTTACCAGTGTTTGCTTCTTGAGGTGAACACCTTGTATTCATAGTATTCATTTGCATGATTAAAAAGACCACGTCACCATGCTGGTAGGCAAGCTGTAACTGTGCTCTGATAGAGATTGTCTCACCACCGTTAATGCAGTTACAAACCTGCAGGTGGCTGAAGACCAAAAGCAAAGATTTTCAGAATGACCATGAAAAACATGAAGATATGTGGACACTCAGATGCAGTCTCCAGAAAACGCTATGAGGAGAAGATTAGCTAGACTGGTGGAATGGATCCGCATAGCCTGCATATTTCCAGAGTTCTGAATATTCCAATCCATGAAATTTTACAAAAACTAATAACAGTGGCTACCAAAACTCTTAAACAGTGAACTCATATACGTAAAGATGAAGTTAGCTTTTTATTCACTAGCTTCTCATTAGAATTTTCTGTTCCACCTTAAATGGTGATGCAGTTACACTGAGGTGCTTAAAAAGTAGTATGATTCACAAACATTGAATCACAATTGTCCTTGACTTGACTAGATGTCATAAAGGGGTTTTTCCCTCACCAGGGAAAGAATTCTGTGATCACCCACTAGTTGTCTTATGTTAAGGCTGTTTAGTTGCTGAGCTCGCCAGTTGTAACATGACTGACCCAGTCAGACGCTCGCAGTACGAAACAAGAAATGAGGCTTTAATTGAAAAGGGCTTGACCAGAATCGTAGTCAGCGAACAGGTGTGGGTTGAATCCAAAAGAGCAAAAAGACAAAGAACAACAAACATAACAAAGGCAACCAAATCCAAAAGAACA